GATGTGTTTGTCCAAAGCGACGTATAAGTGAGGATCTCACAGTGAGGTCAGCATCCCCAGAGAAACTATGGTTAAGGGCCTTGCTCAAAGGCACAGTACCAAAATCACCCTGTCAGCCACAGGATGTCAACTGGTGACCTTCCGATCAGGGGCACCGAACCACACAACACCTCCAGCCACCTGGTGCCCATGACATGATCATCTCCCTCCAGATGCTCCAGCAACCTCTCGGTCTTCACCTCGGGGCATCTTCAACCATCCACAACCCCCAAAGGATCTCTGGACCGGTGTAAGAAAACATGCAAGTCTAAGAAGAAAATGTATGAGCTCTCGCATTCATATGCATGCTGGACGATAAACCTGCAATCCAACTGCTCGGGAGATGGGATGACTCAGTGATTTTGACAACATTCAGTTCCAACAAGACAATGCTACAGCAATTGTAACAGCCAGTGAGAGACGCTAGATGACAACAAAAGGACAAACTAGCCTGTCCTTCTGTTGCTACCTTGAGGACAATGCCAGCCTGACAGGAAGACAGTGTTACCCAGTGTTACCCAGCCAGGAAGATATAGCTACCAGGAAAATGCAGTTAACCTTAGCTAGAGTAGGACTAGCTAGCAGAAATCCAGCCGGTTTTTATTGGAACTGTTTGGGTACTCTAGAAGAAGAAAATGACCTCTTTGTTAATAACCCCAACAAAAAACAGCACATATGACAGCACATTAAAACCACTTATAGGGATCACTACACCTAACATTTATATACAGACTTCCAGCTCCAACAGAGTGTCCACTGACAAAGGTAAAAAGCAGCACTCAAATATGCTGGCAGACACAACAAGCAAAGTGGCCTTTATTTTGCCTGGTGGGTGATACGATTAACAGCCAGCTTTTAGTTACACTGGATTTTGAGTATCACTCCCTTGTACGACCAATGTTGTGGTCACAGAACAAAACAACTGCACGCTAATGGATGGTTTGTCTTTACTACAGCATAGGAATATTACTATACTGGGGTAGGAACTAGGGAAGTAACTGGAGCTCAAGAAGGACAAACAAGTAAGGGGTCTAGGATTGCAGTTTGGAACATCTCTAGAAAGTATGGGGAGACAACACAGCTATGCTTTCATCCTCAAAGCGAGGAGACGCCGCTCTCCGACGTGTCGGGATTTGGCTAACCATTTAGCATCTTCCTAAAGTCTAAGCTAATGCACTCAAAAATCTCTGTGGGGGACAGAAGGAAACTGGGAACTAGAATATTAGTGAGAAAAAGATGGATCTCTATCTTCTTTCTAGCTCTCTATCACCCTGCCCGCTGCCACCTAAGATCCAGCGTCTCCTCTTCGACTGATCAAATCACACTGTAAATCCAATTAACTCCACACAAAGCACCCCCCCACCCAAACCCCCGCTACCCCACCCAATCCGTCATCCACACTTCCTCTGTATGCTCTAAACTCCTTCGGCAGTTGTGTGCAGGGAGTGGGTCTGACCTTGGGAGCGAGGTCTGCTGGAAACACAATGCAATTCATCACAAAGGACAAGATTGTTTAACAGCAGAGGCTTCTGCACAAAGGAAAGGTGTACTGAGTGTGTGGATATAGTAACACTAAGGCACTTCTGCTCTTCTCCCTACTGAGTACACATCAGTACCACTACTGGCATTCTACTGTCATACTTCACTGCACTGGGGATCCATCTAAAAGGGACGATAGTGGTTAGCCATTACACCATGGGCAACAAGGAAGCCTAGGACAAGAACAGTCACACCAGTCAACACGAAGCTGAAGCACAAGTACACCTGGGGGTCCAGGATCACATGGTGCTCCTCAGATTCCTACACGGTGGGATAACCTGCTGGCTCCCTTGGCTTTGCTAATGTACTAAAACACTTCTTCATCTAGGTGAAGGAGCGACAAGGTGGAGGAAGACTTATCCATTGAAGTGAAGACCATCCATTGCCCTGGTCTTGTCAGCTACCTTGGTCTTTGTCCTCCAACAGCTCACAACCAATCAGAAAGCCAGTGCTACCCAGTCCTCCTTCAGGAAAGGCTAATTTCCCCGGTGACAACACATGCAGGGACTCTATTATGCGCTCACAACTGCCAATGGAAACTTCAATGGATCACACATCAGCACTTCAGGAAGTTTGGCGTGAGAAGGATTATATAAACTTACTCACAACACATGTAAGAGGATTATGGGATCTTAATACCAAAGATTTAAGCATAGAAAAATCACAGAGTTCATAACATTCACATTTAAATTCTTAAAGACTCGGGCTAAAATGGTGCACAAAAAATTTGTAAATGGATGTATGTTTTTTTCTGAAAACTTTTATTCAAGTAGGAAGTCCTTGAGAAAAATCACTGACCTTGCAGAGCAGTTACAGAAATGCCTATAAAAAACATTGAGCAAGTAAAACATTAAATCTATAGGCTGTTTTTTTTTTCATGACATCTATATTCAGCAATAACCAGATTAAAGTTAAACCTTCCTAACATCTGAGTTAGCTCAACAGTTAAGTAAGTGGTTGATTTGTTGTTATGTGCTATTTGTTAGTGATGGAAGGTGATGTGTGCACCCTAAGGAAACCCAAAGGAAAGCATAGTTGAAGCAGGTCACTAAGAACCTTTTTATCTCCACCATGTCAACCTGTCATGGCCATCATTCTTGTCAACACAATCAAGTCACTTCCTGGACAGTAGAAATAACTTTGGTCCCTGTGCCTTTGGGATCCCAGATCGCTGCCTGACTGGTAACAAGAGAAGCAGCTCATCTTACAGGAAGACAAAGGACTCACTCATTCATATAGCAAAAAGGTTACGTGAACAAAACCAACGACTACTGAACACAACAGATCCTTGGAAGGATTCTGCAGACAACAGCTCTTTTTAATAAGCCTTGCTTCTGGATGTAATCCAAACTCATTCCAAATAAACCAATCATTTGATTCGTCCATGGATAACTGGGGATGTTGCCTAAGAACTGTTCAACATTGGTAAGTTGAAAGTACTATGAGTCGACAAAAGGCAAAAATTGTTAGGTAAAGATCATGAACGCAAAGGGTATATATATTATCACACAAGCTTAAACTTAAAAGACACACTTAAATGGTTCGCAAGACATTGCCTCTAGTGCCAAAGACATGAAGATTACAAACACTCACAAGCATGACTCATTTCTCAACACCTTAGTGATTATGCATTACAAGGACTAAGGCTGGCTTGCTTTGGCCTCCATTCTGCTGCACTGATTTATTTCATGCAGTTAATCAAGCTGATTAAATAAGTCACTTTACAGATTATTGTTACAGAGTCATAAGAAACAGGTTAAATGTGCATTCACGTCCTCACTCATAAACACAATATATCGCACTGTAGTGCTTTTTTATGTAACATAATGTGAGATATTTCTCTTCTGTTTAAAAAAGGAGGTGAAATGTGTAATAAATACCACTTGGGGGGCAGTTGTGAGGAAGAATATCTAGTAATAAAAATCAGACTTTTGTAATTTTTCTGTGGCAGGTACAACATCAGGTTGGACACCAAAATACCATCTTGTCTCTGGCCAGTAAAGCAAGAGGAACAGTGGTGTTAGTTATTATTTTAAGACCTTTAAAACAATAAGAAACAAATTCTTACAGGCATGAAATACAATCACTTAGAGTTCAGCGTGTGACTCATTGTGATTAAAACACCAGCAACACAGCAGAGTAACTATGCTGCAATACGACAAAAGCAAATTCCAAGGAGGAAGACTACCACTGTAAGCCTCGAAATAGCCATATTTGTTGGTTTTATCTACCCCAAAAACCAAAACATGGGGAGATGTTCTCACTTGTTTGCCAGGGATCATGGTCTCACCTAGGAAGCAACATGTGAATACGCTCCTATACCTGGTGGATCTGGTGTGACGTATCACATCATTATTATAATCTGCTGTCCAGACTCAGGACTTTACCGTACAGCTTTCACGTGGTCAGACAATAGTGTTATGTTTGTAATTTCTCTATATAGTCACATACTCTTCAAGGCTTTCCAACTGCCCAAATGGATGCCTTTCTCATTATCCATTACAGAAGGGTACAGACAGTTCCCAGGCCGACAATGGAACTGGAAGTGACCTCCAGATATGTCATTACACCATCTGTAAAAACAGGCGAATAGCTTACAGAAGAAAAACAAATGATCTGTGCATCTCACGACAAAACTAACAACAGATGAGTCATATGTGCTGCAATAGAGGAAAACAGCACGAACACGATAAGTCTGTTGCCCTTATCGAAAACATCGACCATTTCTGTCACTATACGCTTTTTATGTTTCAAGTCATTATTTTATTATTTGTTTTTTATTGAGAGTGACGATATTTCCTTCGTTAGGATCGAGTCAAACTCCCAACTAATGTTGTGACATTTCTTTGGCGAGAAATATTCAGGTAAGGGTTCCAGTAAAAGCGCTCCCGTGAAAATGCGGAACGAAGTATTTGTTGCAAATAACTACACAACAACACTGCAATCATCTGTATATAGTGTCCCTAGAGTTACCCTTAAGAAGAGTCATTACAATAACATAATAATAATGATGATGATAATAATAATAATAATGTCGGACTTTTAGGTTAAAATTAATAATCGTTATATAAAATAATTTCATTATAAGTTTCTCTTATGTTTCTGTCTTTAAGCATACCTACGTATATAGTACAAAGCCTAGGACCTCATTGAGAACCTGATGTCAGAACATAAAGGGGAGCTTCAAGTCCACACTGGAGAATAATGCAACACCAAGTAGGCTATAAGACATCGCTTTAAAACACACACGTGTCTCCCAAAGCGGTCCTCCTTGTTTCCGCAAAATTACGGCATTGCTTTCTCCCAATAAAGCGAATTATTTAGATCGTTTAGTGTACGGTAAGGGCGCATTACATCGATGCAGATACTGACACCAGTCTACAAAGGAATGGGCTTACAGTTTCTAATTTAGCCTGTCTTACCAGATATCTCGCTGTCGGGGACTCCGTTCAAACTGAAACCTTTGCCGCTGTAGAAGTGCCTGATATCAGCGCAGCTCCGCGATCTGCCACTCGTGTTGTCCCCAAAAACCGGGAAAGTGAGCAAGCAGATGAGGAAAGCCGGGAAGAAATCCATCTCTGCCGAGGGACAATTCACCACTTGGGCACAAGCGCAAATCCGAGGACGATCCGAATGACAGCAACTTAAAATGCTGGGAGTAAAAAGAAAGACCCAATCCTGTAGGTGGAGGACAAGATCCGTAGTAATGGGGCAACCTATAAGTACCCGTAGATTCAGGTGCCTTTTTTCCCTAACCCTGATCAGAAGAGCTTCTGTCTCTCGGATCCAATGCAAATGCTGGACTGAGGCAAATTCCCTTTAATTCGCCAACAGTTCCCACGATTTCGTCGCCTGGCACGCCAACCACCTTAAGCGCAAAACCCGATCAGCTGGAAAACGGCCGACGCGACTAAATGAGATGTGATGGGTTCGGAGAGGACGCATTGACAGCAGGAGCGCAGCTCTCTGTGGTAGCGAGTGCGAGCATGTGTCGGAGCGCAGGACTGCTTTGCCAGACGTTTGTCTCCTCCAGTCGGTTTTGTTGCGGAGATGCTCTCCCTAAACAGCCCGGCACGACTTAGCAGGACGGGACGGCACCACCTGCAGGGCGTCGGGTTCATCATCGTCGGAGATCACCCACAAGAGACTGCTTTCAGACAGGGGACGGCCAAGGGAAACCTTATTTTTCAGCTTCTGCCTTTGCCCTTCATGCCCAGTATAGGTAAATACAATAATAGATCTGTGGTTTTAAAAAAAAATAGCCAGTGACTTGGATTTTTTAAAAGCAGCATAGAAGGAAAAAGGTTAACAAAAGAATGAAAAGTTCATGAAATATTAATAAACATTGAGAAAACTATTCCCCTTCACCTTCGCTCTGCATTTCTCTAGACAATACACTTTTAGTCTAGTGATGGATTTACCTGCAGTAATACATAGAATGAGTGAAAGGCAATGGAGAGTCTTTACAATTTTCCCCAGGTTATCCTCAATCCACATAGGAGTGTAGGGGATGGGATGGTCTTGCTAAGCCAGAAATGTGAAAGTGTTTAAAAGGTCCTGGATTATACCCAGGGCTCACACCGCCATCGGCCCACGGGGAAAATGCCCTGCATGCCAGGAGACCAGGCCAGCCCTAGGTGTACCACCATGGTCTCTGAAGCTGCCCTCACATAAGCAAACAAAACACAACCCTGCACACCTTCCCTTTGTGAATAAATGTGCTTCGCCACACCTAGGCGTTGGGTCTAGGCCGCACACAGCACAGGCCATCGTTTCCATGAAGTCATTGTTGATGTCTCTCCATTTTAGTTAACATAAATGGTGGTCTGGTTCAGTGCCTGTGTTTTCATCTTTTGTGAAAGCTGCATTGCTGTCCTCTGATGTGATTATTTGGGTATCTCTGGGCTTTCGGTTTACAGAGAATCACTTTATTGGCAGGATCCCATCGGTACTGCCTACATTTAAGGACAAGTTTAAAGAAGGGAATGTAAATATTTTTTAAATGTCACCCATTTTTTTAATCTACTGTCCGTATGAAGTGATAGATAGATAGATAGATAGATAGATAGATAGATAGATACATAGATACATACATACATACATGCATGCATAGGTACATACATACAAACATAGGTGCATGCATGCATACAACAACAACAACAAATTTATTTTTGTATAGCACATTTTCACATTACATCGTCTCAAAGCGCTTTACAGCATCCCCACCCAAAGCCCCCAGTGAGTAAGCCATAGGCGACAGTGGCAAGGAAAAACTCCCGAGAAGGAAGAAACCTTGGGAGGGACCAGACTCAAAGGGGGAGCCCATCCTCCAGGGGCCGGCAGGGAGAGTCAAATACAGTAAAATCTGAGACACAAACGGGGAGCAGGGGGGAGATGGCAAGCCGGTGCCAACGCTCCCTCCAATCGCCAGGCAACCAGAAGGCAGGCAGCGGGTCATACATGGAAGATGACACAGGCAGAACGGCGAGCTGGATGCACGGACGTCATTGGTAGCGGGGACGTCACATGTTGCAGGGTGTGCTGGACATCTTGATAGATTGAGGTCTCCAGGCAGCACCCCCCAGGAGGAGTAGGGGGAATAAAATATGCAATTAGTCAAAGTAAGGGAGACTATAGGCAGTGCTAAAAGTTAGATGAGTGCAATATGAAGTGCAATGTGCAAGCTCCGGCAGATATGGCTATGGCAGCATAAGTAGGAGGGAGAGGCTAAACTAAACAGGTGTGTTTTTAGTCAAGACTTGAATATTGAGAGTGAGCCTGAAACCTGCACATCCGGTGGAAGACCATTCCACAGCTGAGGAGCTCTATAGGAGAAAGCTCTGCAGCCTGCCGTAGCTCTTTCCACCCTAGGTACTAACAGATACCCCGTGCCTTGAGATCGAAGCAAGCACGGGGGGTTGTATGATGTCAGCAGATCACTAAGGTATTCTGGTGCAAGGCCATTCAGTGCTTTATAGGTTAATAGCAGTATTTTATAGTCAATCCGAGACTTAACTGGTAACCAATGAAGAGAGGATAAGACTGGTGTAATGTGATCAAATTTCTGTGTTTGTGAGAACTCTGGCTGCTGCATTCTGTACCAGCTGAAGTTTATATAAGGATCCAGACGGGCAACCAGAAAGGAGGGCATTACAGTAGTCCAGTCTGGAAGTTACAAAGTCATGTATTAATTTTTCTGCATCACGAAGTGAGAGCATCTTACGAAGCTTGGCTATGTTCCGTAGATGATAAAACACAGTTCTAGTAATACTTCTTATGTGAGGATCAAAACATAGATCTGAATCAACTAGAAGACCAAGATTTCTAACCACCGTTTTAGGTTGTGTAGGAAGGCCACTAATGCTGAGGTGGTGAAACTTATTTCTTGCAGCCTTGGGACCAATTACCAGTACTTCTGTTTTTTCTGTGTTTAACATTAGGAATTTTTTTGCCATCCAGCACTGGATATCTAACAGACAATCTTCTAACCAAGATAGGAGTGATGTATCATCAGGGTTAACAGTATATATATAACTGGATATATATAACTGTGTACCATCTGCGTAACAATGAAACCCAACACCATGATTTCTAATAATGTTACCAAGAGGTAGCATGTATAGGGTAAACAGTAGTGGGCCCAGTACTGATCCCTGTGGGACACCATATGTGACTTTGGTGGACTTGGATGATTCGTTGTTCACATGGGCATACTGATAGCGATCAGTTAAATATGAGCGGTACCAAGAGAGTGCTGTCCCTGTAATGCCAATTACACCTTCTAACCGGTCCAAGAGGATATTATGGTCCACAGTATCGAATGCTGCAGTTAAATCTAGTAATACCAACAGCGATATACAGCCACGGTCAGAAGCCATAAGTAAATCATTCGATCATTACTTTGACTAGAGTAGTTTCTGTGCTATGGTTTGGTCTAAAGCCAGACTGATATAATTCATTAGTATTATTTTTTTGTAGGAAAGAAGACAACTGACGAACTACAACCTTTTCCATGATCTTTGAAATGAAAGGAAGATTTGAGATAGGTCTATAGTTTCCTAAAACACTAGGTTCAAGATTTGGTTTCTTAAGGACGGGTCTAATAACAGCCATTTTAAAATGTTTTGGAACATATCTAAGCTTAAGAGATGAGTTTAACACATTTAACAGGGTATTGCTAATTTGTGGTGCGATTTCCTTGAAGAATTTTGTAGGAATTGGGTCTACGAGGCTAGTAGAGGATTTACAGGAGGAAATTAAGCTCGAGTTCTGAGTGTTTTATAGGAATGAAAGATTCAAAGGTCTCATCATTGGTAGGCATAAGACTAGCAGGAGGCTGGCAGCCATAGGTAGCTAAGGACGTGCACTGGATGGTCTGTCTAATCTTAGTTATTTTACCATTACAAAATGTAATAAAGTCATCACTCTTAAGAGCTTGCGGGACTTGCGAGTTTAATGGAGAATTCTGTGTTAACTTAGCCATGAATTCAAATAGGAATTTTGGATTGGTTAAATTCCCGTCTATTAATCTGGAGAGATACACAGACCTAGCAGTCACTAGTGCTTGTCTGTATTTAGACAGGCTGTCTTTCCATGCAGATTTGAAAACTTCTAGTTTAGTTGAGCGCCATCTGTGCTCTAGCTTGCGT